GAATCCCAGTGCTTCCATGGTGGACAGGTAAACCTGGCACGATTATCATTCCTTCAATTAACAAAAAGAAAAAAGAAAACAAAAATATTGTAATTAAATCAAGGCCTGCAACTAACATCTAGATCTATATTATACTTCCGCCTGATCAGTCGTCTTCTTTAATCCTTTAACTGTAATACTCAAGGTTGACATAAGATTACCCTCTTGGAGACACTAATGCTATTTTCTACGCTCTAATTTTGCATGTAATTGCACACGAAATAAAATGTTGGGAAAGCCAAACAGACGCGAGGCCCGAGGGCCGGATTTCCTTTTAAGAGCGACGCTAGCGATGAACGAAGAATTTATTTTAAATAAGGAATTGAAGTGTCGCCAAGTAGGTTGTAGACTCTTGAGAAGCTAGCAAGCTGTAAAATCCAACAGATGAATGCTTCTTTGAGATCCAAAATAACGGTGAATTAGCTGAGATAGATGTTGATTACTGAGGCAAAATTCTGCAAAAACTTGAAATTTGTGGAAAGACAGTTAAATAGTATATAAATTATTAAATAGTGTAATAGTGTCATAAGATATTAGAGAGTACAGAGGAAGCTGAGGTCAATGATCATGTATGTTGTAGTCAAATACTTAAATCTATTGATAGCCAAGGTAGTTAATAGATACTAGTTTCATTAAAGGTTTTTCATTAATCAATTATCAACTAGTTTGTTCTTGAAATAATCAAATGTGTTTCATAATACTAATATTAACTAAAAGCCTGTTGAAGGTTGGATGTTGCTCTAATTATTAATTCGTCCTATGAGTAATGTGTTAATTTTTTTCTTCTTTAGGTAAGAATAAATTATCTGTAAATAATTAATTAATAATGTAATTATACCATATTTTTTTATTATTCTTTATCCTTCATCAGATGGTCCTACTTATAAGGTATATTACTTTAATTCTTGCAGGTTTACACATGTTGAAAATCACTAATTTTGCCATTTAATACATAAGGGAATCCACAAAAATAATGTGCTGTTTATTATGTTAAACTTGTAAATAAAAGCAAACTTACAAAACAAACAAAATATTATTTATCTGGAATGGTGAATATCAGGAGTTGCATTAGGAATATTGCATCAGTGATGCAATATGTATTCTTCATTTTTAGATCTATCATACAGGAAGCAAAAATGAAAGTTAGATGAGGAAAATATAACACATATATTTCTATATTATGTACAACTCTTACAATCAGTTCATATCACTGAACAAATATATGTTACCACATTTAATATTTTGTAAATATTCAAAGTATTCAAAACTTATATTGATAAAAAAGCTTTGTCAGAACAAATGGAAAGCTAGCTGGAAAGCTTTAGTTTTGACATATACGAATGTAAACTACTAAATACTATAAATTTTTCTTTTTTGAACACTAACAACTGTTATGTTGTTACAGTACTATGAACAAGTTATGATAAAGAATTAAAACTGTAACCAACAGTTCATAGTCTACAAAAGTAAACTACCCAGTCAGTAACTTTTCAGTAATCCATTTGTTCTCATTGTCTGTTATTCCAAGCTTCCAAATTCCCTTCATCCATATCTTTTCCACTTCCAAAATAACACCAAGAGTTTCTTCACACTCTGTGTGCAGCAGTTAAAGGATTAATCGAGTCGTACACGTGCTTGTCGTCTCGTTCGTTCGCTCTGTACCAAAATATCCAAGAGACATCACGAAGGATTCTTAAAGCGTTTTTCTTGTTGACATGGCGATGCAGGACAGAGAAGGAAAGGGCACAAACTCCACCATTTAATCCGGATTCGAAGGACTGTGGAATCCTGAGCTGCAGGCCGGCCTTTATACAAAGATTCGCTGGAATAAAGGTTAGTTTACATTACTATATTTGCACTTCTTCCTGTCAGATTACACTGACATATAGGTATCCTGATTTACTTAAGCAATTCGTTTATGCCGAGATCGTTGGTCGACTTAGTCACATATATGGCATACACGGATGTGCCAAACAGTCACCATTCGAAAGGATACGACATTGAAATGCTGCTGACATTCCGTGAAAGGTTTAAGTCATCGCAATGGAACATAACGTGGCAACGTCACCGTCGTCATTTGATATCATTTGATCGTTCCCTTTTGCGACACTGTAATTTTATCGGATTTATCGCTGCCTCGTGCGAAAAGCAGCTTAGCTCAGTTGTCTGGCAGAGGTCGTGATAAAAAGGTTATAGGAACTTTTAGAGCTGTCTGGGTATTTGAAATATGCAGGCAGATGGCGCAGCAGAGATGGCGCGGCAGGCGATGATATCTTTAAAGGATAAATTTGAACTTTCGTAGAAGAATTTGAAAACTTCCAAATATTAGATTATAAAGATTTGGAAATATTTTATAAAATTTTTTTATTATTAATATTAAACCTTAAAAAAATTAGTTTTTGAAATATATCTATGTAAATTATTGTTATTATTATTGTTTAACAGAAAGGTAAAATTTATGCAAATACAGTGACCTTCAAAAATAAAAATCTTTAGATAGGAATAAAGAATTTTGTTAATAGAGATACTTTACCCTTGCTTGAAGGTTTTTAATTTTTGATTTATCAGATACGTCGATTATCAGCAAAACGTTTTATCCTGTTCCCATCATCGTTAATGCAGCGTTTTACCTTCGTTAGTTAAAATGCACTCAAGGGTACAATGGTGGAATCGATAAAGTTTCTGCTTATCTAATCGGGTTTTATCGTTTTATCGCAACAAGGATGTATGAAAGAATCGATACTATCAGGAACACGTATCTATCAATTTTACATGATAACAGGTCCTTTTGTTTCGATTCAGCTAATATACTATTTTTTACTAAATCGTTAAGTTTTTCCATTTCTAATATAAATTTTTTTTACAAAAAAATATAATATCTATAAATAAGCAGTCTTTATATTTTACTATTTCTTAATTTTCACATGTGATGGTTACTTTGTTATGTACAATAATTCATCCTTTGCATCAAATTAATATATTATACGTAAATGGAAATATTATATAACAGTACTTGACGTGGATTTAATTTGAGAATTTTTTTTTTATAAATCAATTGATCTGCTGAGATTTGTAATTTTTGTTTAAATATTTGTTTTTTTATTAAAAATTATTTCGTGTATAAATAAAATACGATATGATACTTGAAAAAAAAAAATTAACGTATACCTTAGAAGAACTATGAATTGTTCTTTAAGTATGAATTAGTGTACAACACAGAGTCATATACACTGAGGTAATCTTAAATGCACATGTCCTTCAAACAATGTAGAATAATTGTGATTTCTTCGATCGTATTACAACCTTCAAGTTTACAGTGTGTAAATTTTCTATAACCGAAAAATAAATTGCGTATCAGCCTTAAGTGCTGTTTTTCTGTTACCTGAAACATATATCAGTAAGGTAGTAAAAATGATCATAATAAAATCATAATTACATTTTATTTTCTAATAATATAATCGTGTTACTTTCGAAAGTAATAAAAATAGCGCTATGAACTTTGAAAAAAAAAGAAGAAATAAGTAATCTATATTAAAAGGTTAAAAAATGCTAATGGAACCACTCAAAAAAAAAAAAATAATTAAACAATTTTTTCTTCTAAACTTATTCTTTCAGTACATAAAATATATAAAATAAAAGTTTTATGGCAATAAAATGATTAATTCCAAAAAATCATATTCCGCCATGTTGTTTTCACGATTCTAAAACCTCTTCTAATTTTTGAGATATTTATAGTAACAAAGAATATAGATATCATTAAACAACTGAACATTGCATAAAATTTCCCATTTTTAAAAGAGATAGTCTTATTCGAGACACTTCCAAAAAAATTATTTTCATAATATCAAGTGATCAACAAATTTGTCATCGGTATTTTTAATCTACATGTATGCACAAATGGCTAAAACATGGTACCAAACTACGCAATAGCCACTAACTACGAAATAGTTCGAGACTTAGAACGCCAAACGTAACAAAGAACACATATGAATTCACACTTACACTCGTCATCAACGGCTCAAGGTTTAATTAACATACGTTAACGAATTATTTTTTTCCCATGATTTTTACAGGTGTTTGTGTTCCTCCTGTCGTTTCTCGTCACACTGCAACAAGCACTTAGTTCAGGTTACATAAATTCTGTGATCACGACCATAGAGAAAAGGTTCGAAATCCCGTCCAGCCTTTCAGGCGTCATTGCTAGCTCCTATGAAATTGGAAATGTCATCACTGTCATCTTTGTCAGCTATCTTGGTAGCCGCAGACATATACCTGTGTGGATAGCGATTGGTAAGTGGATAAAAATGCCGAACAATGTTCATTTCCGTGTAAGAATTATCAGTGAATTATTTCGAAATATTTTTTACTGTTTCGTTATTTTAATTATCGTTGTTATTATTTTAGGCGCTGTCATAATGGGACTGGGATCGATGATCTTTATGGTGCCGCACTTCACAGCTGAACCCAATTTGATGACGGCTGCGAACAACTCCAGTTCAGACAACATTTGTCGTGGAGTTTCGTTACGCGAGCAAGACATGGGATTGGGTAAATGTTTCATGAATTGTGCGATGAAGAGTAATGTACTTGGAGAAGTACGGATTTCGTTGGCTACTTACTAATAATTGTTTAAATATAGAGTTATGAACCTGGTTGTTACAGGAATATTACTGTATAAGATAGATTTTTAAGACATAATTTGGTTTTGGGAATATTTGTAAAGAACTATTGTATTAGAAATTATGTTGTTGTTATATTGTTCCTTAATTCCTTTACAAATTATGCGTTTTTAAAAAGGCATTACAGATTTTGTATATACAAGTTGATTCATAACTTTTTGTATTCAATCTACTATTTTCTTAACAGGTATCTTTATTCTTTGAAATTTGTTAAAACACCTCTCAATTATGAAGCAGATTAAAATTGTTTTCGAATATTTCTTGGCATTATACATTTTATAAAAATATAATTTCAATAAAAAGAAACCTGAGAGATATTTAATATAGATTATAAAATTGTACATTTTATGTTTGCTTAAGTATTAACGAAATCCATATTTTTATTTCACTAATATCTTGGTAAAGAAAAATTATTTAGCAAAGAAACTAAAAGGGTTCTTTCGTCATAGGTCGTTTATCGTCTGGATTATCATCTCCACCTTTAGCACCACACAACAATTTAAGAGGTGATAATTGCATTCAGGGATCTCCATCTACTGCTGGTCCTGTTATGTTATTTGTACTTGCTCAGTTATTATTAGGCTGTGGTGGTTCCCCTTTATTTACTCTCGGTACTACTTATATAGATGATCATGTACGACCAGAAAGTGCTTCTTTATATATTGGTAAATAAATATATTATTTTGAAATATTTGAAATTTAACATGGGAGGTTATTTATGAAGTAATTTTATTTATTTCTTCAGGTTGTATGTATAGTATGGCAGCTTTTGGACCAGTTTTAGGTTTCCTTCTTGGAGCTTATCTATTATCATTTCATATGGATTCCTTTTCTGGAACAATCATCAGTATAGGTAATTAAGTAAATCCAATCAGATTTTATTTGGTTGTAAATTATGAAGTACTTAATAAAATAAAATTGAATTTTTTGCAGATCCAGGAGATCACAGATGGGTGGGCATGTGGTGGGGTGGATTCCTACTTTGTGGTTTGCTGCTTATTCTAGTGGCAATTCCGTTCTTCAGTTTTCCTAAAACTTTACAACGGGAAAAAGAGAAAATACGAATTATCGAAAAAAATAAATCGTCATCGCAAAAAGAAAAGGAACCATGCAAAGAGCCAAAAAAGGAAAAACTTGATGATAGTGGTTACGGTAAAGATGTAAAAGGTAAATACTTAACATTTTAAGTATTAATTCTTAACTTAATACTAACAGAAATGTTTATTTATCAGTACAATAAAAGTACTTTTATTAAATATTATAAATTATTAAAAGTATATATTTTTATATAAATATGATATATTTTTCTTTCTTTAGATATTCCCAGGAGCATGTGGAGATTGGTGTGCAATCCAGTATACGTCGTAACATGTTTAGGAGCTTGCATGGAATTAGTAATCGTTTCCGGATTTGTGGTTTTTCTACCCAAGTATCTGGAGACTCAATTCAGCCTGGGAAAAAGTCAAGCCAGTGTATTCACCGGCTCTATAGCGATACCAGGTGCCTGCATCGGAATCTTTTTTGGCGGATGTTTGCTCAAACGTTTAGAATTAAGACCCAAAGGTGCGGTTCAGTTCGTTCTCGTTTCGAACATCATATGCCTGGTGTGCTATGGTCTCCTCTTTTTCCTCGGTTGCGACAACGTAAAAATGGCTGGGACCACTATACCGTACTTTAACAGCAGCACAAAGGGTCCGGAGCCCTTTCAAGTAAATCTCACTGCCGCATGCAACTTTGGTTGCGAATGTCGAATGACAGATGTCGAGCCAGTCTGTGGAAACAACGGTCTCACATATTTTAGCCCTTGTCATGCAGGTTGCACTGCCTTCAGTTCCAAATCGAATTTCACTAATTGTGCATGTAAGTGTGAATTTTTTCTGTTTGCAAGTATAAGTTTTTAGTAACTTAACATTTTCAAAATGAAAGTAAATGTCTTCTAATATATATTTACATATGTGTCATATATTTAAATTAGAATATTTTTATGTAATGTATAACAATATCAAAGTTTCTTGTATAAGAAATGTTAAAACAGTGTAGTAATAGCAAGAGTTTTATTTGTTGATTTATATTGTATTATAATAGGTGATTCTTTAATGTGTGTATTTGTGTTTTAGGTATACACGGTAACTTAACAATGTTGGCTCCGGCAGCTCCAGAATTCGCAGAAGTGACAGTAGTGCCAGTAGCTACAGCTGGTCCATGCACTTCGCCATGTAGGACTATATTCCCGTTCTTAATTTTACTTTTTTTTATGACATTTATTGTTGCTATCACTCAGATGCCTCTATTAATGATAGTGTTACGGTAAATTTAATTTTTGTATTGTTTGTATATCATTAACCAAATTATGTATTATTAAATACATTCAAATTTTTGCTTTTCATACAGATCAGTCTCAGAAGAAGAAAGATCATTTGCTTTAGGCATGCAGTTTGTAATCTTTAGGCTGTTCGGTTACATACCTGCTCCTATTTTATTTGGTAATTTAATTGATTCTACGTGCTTACTTTGGAAAAGCACTTGTGGAGAAAAAGGCGGACGATGTCTACTTTACGACATTGAACAATTTAGATACAGGTACAATAACTCAACTATTAATACCCAATTTCACATCAAATTTTACAAATATTTCCAAACAACAAAGTTATATTTTTAATGTGTTTCAGATATGTTGGTCTTTGTGCTGGCATTAAGATTTTAGCTTTGGCACTGTTCCTCATTGACTGGTGGTTAGTTAGAAGGAGAAGACAGATGGAAGATCAAGCGCCATCTTTCACCGTTAATGAATTCGTAGGGTCAATTATCAGCCTTGACAAATGTATGTATATTTAAAATTAATATATTTATATCTTACACGATTACTTGATCTTATAAAACTTATATTTTGAAATCGCAAAAATTAAGACTAACATTATAATAAAAAAGGAGAAGGTAGAAACAGAATATTTTAATTGCGTTTCAAGACATTGTTGAACATTATTTATAACATTTTCATGACTTAATGTCTACATATTCTTGGCATTAAATTATTTTAGTAACTTTGATGTGATCGTTAAACTTCACAATACGTGTACTTATTTTTAGTATTCGAAGAAAGACCGCATCATCACAGCGCGGGAGAAGGAGACGGCACTACGCCGAATTCCGAATTACCTACGCCGTCATCAATTTCATCACCCACGGAGCCTACGAAATCGACAAACCTAGAAGAAACTGGCTCATCGAATCAGACACAGGATTCGACTGAAACAGGGAATCGTTCGAAAAACGCATTGGATGTCGACGTTCCCGATACAAGGCAAGCGCCACTTGCTATGGAAGAACCGGATACAGAAGTCAAACCGTTGACTGGTAAAACGGATAAACTTGTACGGAACGTTTAATGTTTAACTCGTATTAGAGGCTATGCAATTGAATTATATCAAAAAGGTGATAAAGTGAGTCTGTGGCAAATTGTTTTGAGGTCGCAGGTAAACTAATACAATATATAGAAAGAAATAACGTGTACAACATATGTGCATTATTGATTTGTGCAATCCTAAAAAAGTGGTAAATGGGGGAAAGTGTTAGAAATGACTTTGAATAAAAGTGAGAAGGGGTAATCTGTATACATACATATATGGTGCTAATATACTTTTTTAAAGAGATCGAAAGACAAAGAATTATCTTATATCGTTCCGTATATTGTCAGATACAAATTTAAATTCTGTTGAAGATATAAGTAAATTTTACACACACACGCAATTATATATTCTTGAATACAGGTGAGTCGAAAATATTTTTACAATGATTATATTTACGTGAAGAATATCGTTTATCGTACGAAATGATTTGCCACAGGTTTGTCTCGACGGTTTGGCTATTTTTAGGAACTAATATCACTAGAATGTACATTTTTACGGTGATGCGATATATATGTCAATAAATAGGAATGTAATAGGTGAAAAATGTTTAGGCTCGTTTCAGACAGACATCTTATAACTTGATCTAAAAGATTTTCTTTGTCTGAAACGAGTTTTTCTTTCCCAATGGGAAACGAGCCTTGCGCAGTTTAAGGAAAAAGGGAAAAGGAAAAAAAAAATAGGAAAAAGGAAGAAAGGCCAACAAGGACAAAACTGTAAATATAAAAATTCCTGCCTTAAGAAATACAAGACTAGACAAACGTATATTTAAAGATAATTAATTAAGTGATAGAGTTAACGATCTATAATGAATATCATTATAATTGCAGATCGAGAGCTGCGATTTATTTTATAACTAGTGGTTAGGCTTTCTCAGAAATAAAAAAAAAAGTAGTCAATTTAACGTAGTAATGTAAAGGAAAAAAAAAACACCCAAAAAACAAACGGATGAAGATTACTAGTTGATTCGTTTCTCAAATTATTTTAACACTTTGCAATAGCATACATTTTATTCCTTTTTTCTTTTCTTTTTGTTTCTGCAAAAACCGAACTATATTATCAAAAAAAGAATCACGCTTTTAATGAAGCGGCACCTTGATCTCTAATGTTTTTTCTTCTAAATACTACTGTATCAGCGACATACTATTTTAAGAGCTTTCAGAGAGAACATTAGCGATAACTACTAAAAAAGAAAGAAAACAAAAAAATGGAAGCGTTCGTGCGATTTTTCGTCGTGATGCGTGCGTTACTCTTGTCCTATTCTATATAGAATGAATTATGAAATGAATTATGCTTCCAAGCAATGAAAGAAAAACAGAAAGCTATAGATTTTCGTTAACGAATGCCGATGAAATAAAATGGTAAGTCAATTGGGATTAATTGTGTAACACTTTTAGGAATGTCTCGGACAAGTTCTGGCTTATTACACATCATTTAACTCACTCGTTGTTAGAGAGAAGTCTACTTGTTGTTTTGTACCTGAAAGCTTTTCGTATCCAATTTCGATGTAACAAAAGAGAGAAAAAGTAAGAGAAAGAAGACAAAAGGAAAGAAAGAAAGAAATATATAAAACTCACTCAGGAAAAGAAATTTTATAGGGTGTTTAAAGCACTTTTACCACAATCGAAGGAAAGCTATAAGTAAGACACGAATATGAATATCTATCAGTGCAAAATAAAAAAAAAAAATCCTAGCGTAAGAAGTGAATAAACGAAAATGGGAAAGATATAAAGTTACTCCTATCAGCTCAATTTCTTTTAAAGTGATGAATCAAGGGGAAAGGAAGTAATTAAGGAGATTTTACAAACAAAAAAAGAAAAAAAACATTTTAACAAATAACGAGGATGTTATATAGGGACAACAACGCCGTTTGCACGAACCGATAATTTGAAACTGTTTTCCTATCGCTTCGGGTACGAAACCGTTCTACATATGCTTCAGTAAAATGCAACTTAAAATGAAGAAATAAATAATTGAATGATATAGCGTTAATTTTACACAGTCTCGAAAATGGAACTATTATGCTGACGTTGTCACAGCATTTACTTACGTTAATACAGACACACTTACCTATGTACGATATATCTCGCACGCTGTTTGGCCCGTCACTGTCAATTTTTCGAAGTGTAGTTACACGCTACCTATATATACATACATATATTATATTTTAGAGGCAATTTTGATGTTTGCGAACCGTTGAGCCGTCTGCAAAGTCAATCGTTCGAGACATTCTCGAGGCCGTGATGATCTCTCTCCTAACTACGATTAATTATTGCGAAGCACTTACGTATAACTATACCTACTTTGTGATATGAATCTCTCTGTCGAACGATGGACTTTGTCGGACGTGTCTCTCGTCTACATGAGGATTACAAACAAAAAGGAAAAAAAGTGCTGTGAATAGAAAGAAACGAAAACGACGAATAAGATGGAAAAGAAAGAGGTTATGAAGTGAAAGAAAAAGAGAAAAAGTGTGCAAAGGAAAAAGTTAGAAAGAAAGGTTACATACGTCGAATCAAATTCAGTTCAATTTACACGTTTCGTCGAGAATGAAAGATGCGAGATTGTTAAGAGGAAAAAATAAATAACTGCATCCACCGAGACGCTGCAACTGTACATAGGGGAAATATAATAGTTAGAGCGATTTATAACGAGAAATCGAGAAGAAAATAACACGTGGTTACGCGTATTATAATTATATATACAATTTAATAGGATTTTACGGTGGTCGCCGTCGACACGACGACGTTCTGTTTCTAATGTAAAACGCGTCGTTTTGTATGGTTTATGGCAAACGTTTTCAATGAAACGAACGATTTCGAATGCGCGACCCGCACAATTTTTCCATCGTGTTACTTAAATATTTTTACGGAAGCCTTTCTCGTATACCGTTTTACGATAAATCATATCCTTAGATTATTTTATTTCTATATATAATTTTATATTTGTATTTTTTTTTTTTTTTTTTTTTTTTCCTTTGGTTGATTTATTTCGAATTTCGTTCCGATATTTATCGTGGATCTGATTTGTCGTCACGAATTTATTCTTACATTTATTATATCGTTATTGTTATTATTATTAATATTATCATTACTATTATGTTGTAATTATCACCGCGCTTTTACTATCTACCACTAGTATACTCATTGTTAGTTAGGTTAGTATAATTTTATTTCGTAGCGAATGTTTCTTTTAACCGATTGGTCGTACGACTATATTTGCTGTATGTAACACATTCCCAAGCTATATACTTTATTAAAGTTAAATAAAGGAAAAACGGTGAGAAAAAGTGGTATCGTAGGAAGAAAACGTTTTAAGTATTAGGTAGGAAGTTCTAATATAGCGACGAGAATTAAATTAAAAGAATGTTGTGTACATAGATATTGATTATTATAATAATTAATATAAACTGCTTATAGATGTAATGTATTTTTTGTAGGGACCATAATGTATAAGCAGAACAATATGAGGACGATTTTTGTTTTTTTATTCCTTTTTCTTTCTTCGAACGATTCTTGAATGGTGATATGCGAATGTGAGTCGACGGTTCTAGGTAAGGTCTGTGAAAAGGGGAAAAAAAAAAAAAAAAAAAAAAAAAATAAATGAAATAAGAGCAATATATGTTTGCTAGCGAGATGAAAATTCGAAGAGAAATCTTCGTGTATTACGAGTTCAGAGATAAATATAATACAAAAGCTCATGAAAAAATTTAAATATATACGCGATTTCGAATGATGTTTCGGAATAATGAGAGTACGTTTAAAGATCTCGAAACGCGTTCGATGGATGGAAAGAATGTTATGACAAAGTTCGTTTTTGTGAAGCTCGCAGAAAAGATTTTGTTGCGTGCTTTATGATTCTAACAGCAAATGGAACCTTTTCTGAGAGCGTCATGGTTAATAGCAAAGGTTAAGGCTCGAAAATTGCCGAGTGTTGTAGCATGTTTGAGGTTAGTTGACTGCTGAAGGCCATACAAAAAGAAATTGTGTTTGTTTATATTATTATACTATTTTTGTCCACATGCTCCATATTTGTCGTTCATCTTTCTATGACTTATGTCATAGCTATGTTTTAAGATATTTGCGACTTCCAGCAAAATATTTAGATTTATAAAATTACACAGCAGTATTTACTTGTAAAAAGAATTTAATTATATATTCTTTCATTTTCTTCTTTTCACTTGTTGTAGACACTTTACAATATATTTTATTTTAGCGTTACTATTAATTGGAATCTTTTATTTTTATTCTACAAGATATTAACATGATTAATAACAAATTGATTGTATCTTGACAGGGAAAGTGATCTGAAGCAGCCAATTGATCTCAACCGAGCTATGCAAAGATACAAAGCACTAGAAATTGTAAAATAAAAGAAAAGGGAACGGAGGAAGAATTACATGTGTAGTTGTAAAAAAAGGTGGTCTCGAAATAGCAGAAGAGTTTGTTCGATAAAGCGTCAGTGACTTTTGAAAGCATTTTAGCCTGATTCCAGCAGTTTGTACGTGTTAATGCGATGCCATTTCATACTATACACACATACATATGTACACGGTGCACACAACAACCCACCCTCTTCCCCACACATACACCATACGTTAATTTGTTATGATTATCATATATTAGACGAATTCTTATATCACGGCAGAAGATTGCTTGAATTTAGTCGCGCAGTGAGCAAAATCACTTAATCTATGCATTCGGCCATCTTAAAAAGAAAAAAAAGAAAAAAACAATAAAAATCCGCCATTTTGATACGCTGATCATAATGGGAAAACGATTTCGACGCAACCGACTTCGTAATTGCGAAACGGTATGAACACTTAAAATAATATTGCCTTAAAAAACGAAAGATTAAAAAAACGTAATTCATAAGGAACGCTCTGACGATGGTACAAGTGGCAAAAGTATATATATAATTTTAAACCCCTATGATAGAGAATATATCGTGCGTGCGCGGTTGAAAAATGCTGTTTTTCTCGAGATAAACCTTCTGTTTCATATCAGACACCGAATCTCTTCCTTGGGTATGGAACGAATACAGATCGTGAATCGTATTAGAATTTTAATAATTTCGTTTTACGTTTCACTAGGAGGCAGAAAGACTGCGATACTAAATGAAAATTATTATCGGAAATCGTCTTTTCCTCTGCTCGTCGAAACTTAATTTTTTTTCCTCTCAGAAGTAAGGCACAAACAATGTATTTACAATGAATAAATGTTTTGAAACCTGTTAAACCTATGCTTATTTTTTATTGAGTTACATAGTGGTACATCAGGTCCTTGACATTTTTTTTCTCTAATAATGTTTCAAATATAATTATAATTATTGTTAAAATGTTTATTGCTTATTTTTTTATAAAAGTTTTGGTAGGAAAATCAAATATATTTAATAAATTTTTAATACAAAGAAATATTTATTATTTCAAGTGAGTATATTTTTATTCATAATATTGTTACAGAATCTACAATTTCTATTTACCTCACTTTTTGTTTTCACTTTTATTATAAAATTGTTATAAAACTAATAATGTTATTTTAGAAATACATTTAATACATTTTGTAAAAATGTTCAAATTATTATACATTGTCTTACTTTAAGTGACAGACACTAATTATTATTGACCATGAATATATTTTAATAAGTACGTTACAAATGAAACCAGTACATTGAATTACTTCGTTTAACAGTATAATAATTTCATAGAAATGATATATAATTACCGGAATAATATAGCACTTTTTGCTATTTCTATAAATAGCTATTTAATATAAATTTTTTCCTATAATTAAACTGTAGAATTTGTTAATGTAAGTGATCTGTGTTTGGAATATATATTAAACGAGATACAAAAATAAAAACATTACTTAAAATGTGTCTCGTAATAGCAATTTTCTTCTCATAATACTCTTGATAAAACTTGTAGTTTC